TTGTGCAAAGCTCATTTATTCAGGCTTTGGAGGTGGGGAGAAACATTTGGGGCTATGACATGTGAACTGCCCCCTATCACCTTCACAAAACCTAGCAATGCAAATTTAAATGTCAACATTTTCAACTTTTCACTGCAGGTAATTTTAACAAAAAATCTACAGCTACTCTGACTTGTGAAGGTGGCCAGAGCAATGGCCTGCCTCCACCTGCAATCTGACCCCTGCATTACAGAGGGGAGAAAATAGACAAGTTTAATTCAATTTAAATACCCCAGGTGGGACTCTATTTTGAACTAGGAGTTAAAACAAGTTACTCTGTATCAAAAGTAGTTAGTGGAAGAATGTCAAAAATATTCAATTTTTTCCCATTGAAATCTCGATAAAAAGGGTGTGAAAATTTCAACCAGTTCTAATCAAAGAGGATCAATCTTACCTGGGACCCTCTATTCCAGAGACTGCAGGGGAGAGGGGCTAGTATAAGGCTACGTCTTCACTACCCGCCGATCCGGCGGGTAGCAATCGGTCTATCGGGGATCAACTTACCGCGTCTAGTGAAGACGCGATAAAATCGATCCCCGATGGCTCTACCGTCGACTCCGGAAATCCACCGCGGCAAGAGGCGGTAGCGGAGTCGACGGCGGCGCAGCAGCAGTCGACTTGCCGCCGTCCTCACAGCCAGGTAAGTCGACCTAAAATACGCCACTTCAGCTACGCTATTCACGTAGCTGAAGTTGCGTATCTTAGGTCGACCCCCCGCTGTAGTGTAGACCTAGCCTAAAGAAAGAGGAAGTATGTATGTGTGATGAGTGCAACATGTTTGTCTATCTGTGTCAGTCGTAAAATGAAGATTTCCTTTTCATCATCATAAAATCTCTAATTAATGATACTGATGTCTTTGCAAGGGATGGCATTATAACCCAGTGTCTCAGTGGAGATTACTGCCCTGTATAATTTAAGATGCGTTACCTTTTGAAAGCAGTCTGCAACAAATTAACTGGGTGACTCCCATTAAGTCTGCAAGCATCACATTGAAAATGTATCTTTATAAATTTCACCTGACCCTCCAGTTGTTCCACATGCAAAATTCACATGGGGATTCTACGTGCAAAACCACTTCAAGATCTGGTCCATGTGTCTGTTTATACAACATTACTATAAAAGTGGGAAGACAAGGACTCCCCAGTCAAAATGCTGATGACAACATTAGCACACCGGAATGTTTACAGGAAGTGTTCAAACGGAAAGTGAGTGGCCCTAAAATATTAAGAAATATAGCCATGTTCAGTTCTAAACAAAGGGCTAAAATTGGGGCAGGCACTGTCACTTACTGTCATTCTGTACAGGGCCCTGGCCTTGCTGGCCATTCGTCACTTCCACAACATAAATGTTTACTAATAATACTAACTTGTCCTTAGTTCACATATGTAGCCCCAACTCACATGAATGTGAGTTACACATACAGCTTGAGGATAGTTGGACACCTGGGTTAGTATTTTAACATGCCCCTTAAAAATGTGTAACGTTGACTTTAGAGTATTTTACGTATTTACTTAGTGTCATTGATTAGTTGCAACAGCAAGCAACTTTGTGAAATGTGACTGGCCCTGCTGCCAGTGCCAGTAAGTTAGTACTACAGTGTACATTAAGGGCCCCAACTCGTCTCACACTACTGTCATTCCATGGAGGTCAATGGAGTTACGTTGCTGAAGGATCAGAATCAAGCCCCAGAACACTAGTGGAGAAACTTGTGTGTAAACTGGCCATACTTAGGTGTTTGGAAAGAGCAAAATCAACAGGGTATCAAAATGGAGAACTGGACACATGTAAAATATGTTCAGAGGCAAAGGCTGAGGGCTAAATTCTGTCTCTCCTTACATGACCCTCAAGAAGTGAGTGGGGAGCAGAACTGTAGAAGCCAAGTGGAGGTTCCTCCAAGCCATTCTGCCTGAGCAAAAGCATAAAATCCACCAAAATTAAGGGATGTGAGGAAAGAAGATTCAGACCTTGAATATAAAAAATAATATTTTGGGATGTTGCATGGGCCTGACTGCTAGCTCTTCTTATCTAACACCCCTCTTCTTCACCACCACGCAGAGAAAAGTGGGGCATTCCCATTTATGTGAAACATCATTATTTCTTATATTCATCACAAAATATGCAATTATTCCTTTTCCATTATTGCTGGAGGCCTCCAGAGGCTCCACAGCCATTTCAATTCTGCATTCCATGCTACTCAAAAAGAAAAAATTGACCCATTGAGATAGACACGTCTCTGCTTTCTGTTTTTGCCTTTTCTGATAACAGTGAGTGTTCGTAATTTCCCAGATTTTAGAAATATGAATTTTGCAACCAACCTTCTATTGTCTTTTTAAAACAAAAAAACCTTAAATTTCCATTTTTTCTTTTATTTTGGGAGTGGGGGGATGTTGTAGTTCTGAATCAGTTCAATGTGTCTTGAATCTCTGTAGAAGAATACTACTTGGCTAGCTTCCAAACTGAAACTTTAATAAAGAGTGCTCCAGTAATTTTAAATTTCTCTGCACCATGAATAAGAATATGCTGCAAACACTGTGGATTTCAGCTCAGGGGGAAGAAAGCCTGAAATGTGGCCTTGCACAATATAGTATAGTATATACTTGCACTATATTGTGCAAGGCCAATATAGCATATAGCATACAGTACAGTAAATACAGTAATTTGACTCTTTGTCCATCTTCAAGATTAAATCTTGAGCCCCAGTCCTACAACTGATAGCACATGGGCAGACTGCTGTGTTCATGTGTAGCCTCACTGAAGTCAATGGTTACAACAATCTGCCTGAACGGTTAGCTCTGTCTACTCTTGGAGGTAGGGGTGTGATTCCCAGCTCACCTACACATACTCTCTATAGCTCTCATGGAACTAGCACGTTAAAAACTATAGTGTAGCCATGGTAACATAGGGCAGCGGTGAGGGGTGGCATTGGCTAACTGCCTTGAGTACAAACCGGTCTGCACCTCATGAATACGTACTTGGGGCAGCTAGGTCAGGCTGTCGCTTGTTTCTGGCCAGGCTACCCACGCTATACTACTATTTTTAGCACACAGCGCGAGTATGTCTACACGAGCTGGGAATCACACTACTGACTGCAAGTGTAGACATAGCCTATCAGTTGTAGAATTGGAGTCTTCCAGATTTACAGCTCTCTTCGCTTTTTAAGCACTTCAATAAAATGTTGGTGCAACCCGTTCACATTAATTGCAGATACACAAGTAATCCCACTGAAATCCATGGAACTTCTCATGCTGAGTAACATTTATTCATTCCAGGATTGCAGAATCAGACCCCCCAGATCATAATCCACAAATAAAGAGTGTAAATATTGGGGGGAGGTGTTAAATCCTAAATAGAAATACTGTTAATTCAAAACCTTGTATGGACATATCTACAGTGAAACAGCAATCTAACTCCTGCAACATCTGACAATAACATACTATGAATCTTTCTTGCAACTGAGTGGGAAAAAATAGTTGCTCATACCTATGTAACATAAACAAAGGATAGGCAAAGAACTGAAAAAAGAGTGCAGAGATAAAGAACAGGGCTTAACACAGCAGAGTTATTGGACCAGATTTATCCCTAGTGCAAATCCATTATTTAATTAGTTATGAATTGGTCCCATCACTTTACTACCCCCTCCCATGTAGGGACATTCAGCGTGGGCTGTACTAATCCACCTGGAACCCTGATTTCACTGCTCCCTTACCCAACCTGGCTAGGTTACAGCTAGCTCAGTAAATCCACCCAAGCTGCAGTCACATCCTAAGATTGCAGTACAGAGATACCCTACAGACACATATTTTCTTTAGAGAAAATGGAGGTGCTTGTAGAATTTACAATTGGGACCAGGTTCTCACACTATTCTGCAAGCAGCGGTCACATTGACTTCAATGGGAAATGTGCACAGAAGAAAAGTGCTGATAGCTATATATAGCATCTTTGCATACAGTGCTAGGGGTATTCCATTTTATTCCTTTTCGTGACTGAGGAATCATCCTATTTAATAAGTCTGGCCACTTTAGAGTCAATGGAACCCACATCCGGTCTCCGACTTGTCACTCAAGTTCTTAAAACTCCAGACACTTTGAGTTCAATGTTCCCTTTGAAAGAAAGCCAACATTTGCCATTTATTACTGGATTTGTCAAAAGTAAAGACTTCATCCTGTCTAAAAACAATTCTTGTTTTTTAATTATTTCCTAAGGTGTCAAGTACAACTATTTTAGGGATTGTTGGAAAGACGCTGGCTTACATCTGTCATGTTTCAACAGTTTTCAAGAGAAAAGGAAATATGAATATAAACACATTTTGTCACATTAGATAATGTCATAACTAAACAATTCAGAGCTTGCAAACAGAACACTCATACTGCAGCAGTCTGCCAGCTTTTTCAGAAGTAATGAGCCTCAGCTGTGAAAGGGTCTTGCTTCATAAGGTATGTAATAAATCATTATCAGAGTGAACCCAGCTCCCATGTTGTTCATTTTGGAGTGCAATTATTAACACCTCATGGGATTTCACACAAATGTTTAGGTTAAAAAAAACAGTTAAATGTACTTTTTATTCACATAAACTTATTACATATTACTAATATTTATTCTCACTACTTGTGAGTTTAAGCACACTTTTTTGATAAAAACTGAAATTGCAAGATAGATAGATATGGTGGTAAAATATACGAGCAATTTTGTACTTTTACTTTAGTTAGTTCAGTCTTGCACAATTCTACTTACCCTGGGGTCTTATATTTTTGAGGGGCAAATACACTAGCATCCATTTTTAAAAAATCATCAATCAATTATCAAAGCAAAAGAACAAGCAGATTTTGTATGTGTGCTGGTCAATTTTCATGAAGCTTTGCAAGGCTGAGTTCATTCTTGTCAACAGGAAGATACACGTCATAAAATCTTTACGTGATGACTGATGTGCTAGTTTGTAATATTGTAAGACACGGGATACTCACATGCCCTTGATCGTCCAGCTCGTTGTTGGTAAGTTTCAGTTTGTCAAAGCTGATCACTTGCCTCATCCAGGTCTCCCCTGAGGCGGGTGAATCGGGGTGAATATAAACACGAGGAGGTACTGGTGAATCAGCATTCCCGGCCACCATCCACTTCGAACTATGGTAAACATACCTATGAAAAGAAGCCCAACATCTGTCAGAATGAAATTGGAAATAATTCATCAGGATGATTTATATTGATATAGCAGGACTTCGTACATACAGCACGCGTCAATCTACAAATGTTGAGGGACAATAATTACAATGGATCTAGTCACAATATCCCAGAGAGAAGTGATCATTTTTCCAACAGAAAAAGAAAAAGAGGGAAAACACAACTTAAAAGAAGTCTATAAAAATAGCTAGGAAATTCAACTGCGATTTGAGAGATAAAGGGCAAGTAATCAATATAAACAAAGTCACAGCATTTTGGGAAGCCTTCTCTCTCACCACTGTCAAGATTATCTTAATAGCTGCACTAACAAACACAGTAGTCTTCTTTGCTGCAAATAAAATGTTTAATTTACTTTCATTTCAACATTCAATTTTCAGTTGCTGCAAACAACTGAATTACAAAATATTAGCAAAAGTATCTACAATAGACAGGACCAAATTCTGCTTTCATTTAGAGCCTTATCCAACTCCCATTAAAGCCAGTTGCTGTCTTTCCACTGACCACCAGTTACGCTGGCATAGATCCATTGATCTCAGGCTAGGTCTACACTACAGCGGTGTTCCGACCTAAGATACGCAACTTCAGCTACGTGAATACCGTAGCTGAAGTTGCGTATTTTAGGTCGGCTTACCTGGTGGTGAGGACGGGGGAAAGCCGACCGCTGCCGCGCTGCCGCCGACTCCGCTACCGCCTCTTGTCGAGGTGGATTTCCGGAGTCGACGGCAGAGCGATCAGGGATCGATTTTACCGCGTCCTCACGAGACGCGGTAAGTCGATCCCCGATAAACCGATTGCTACCCGCCGGATCGGCGGGTAGTGAAGACGTAGCCTCAATGGCATCACTCTGGATGGGCTCCAGTGTAACAGAGCAAAATCTGGCCCTTAATTTATACAATGACATAAACAACTCTTTACATGACTCACTTAGCATGTTGTTTCTAACATGAAACAGTCCACAAATAAAACTATTCCAGATACAACACATCTTGCGACAATGAAAAAGAGAATGAAATTAAAATGAGAGAATTTCTGTGAGAACCATATTGATCTTCTTGACAGTACCACAGAAATATTTAAATAAAAAACCCACATCCTATTATGTTTCTTTTTATATAAAAAAAAATAAACAAAGTCATTCTGCAGTAAAAGTATCTTATCCTTCAGTAAAAATATCTTATTCTGAATTCAGCTATTTTGCAGGACAATTATTTTTTTTTAAAACCCACTAATTAAAAACTGTGCAAATAATATGTCTGATAGGCATGCACTCTTCAGAAAAAAGAACAATTCCCTTAGCAAAAAAAAAATAAACAGTTCGATTTAATTTTAAGAAATGTCTTTCAACACTTTCACCTGGTATGTCTCTTTGTACGGGTCTCCTCTTTAAGAGAAAAAAGAATATGCAACATTATCAACAGTGGAAACAAAATTATTCATTACAAATATGTATGGATGTAAATCATATCAAGCCATCAATTATGAAATGATATGTACTTTCTTGTGATTCCTTCTGGTGGAGAAATATCCTCTGCCTAAATCATACAGTTTGTTATTTCTTTTAATATTTTTATCTGATTTATTATTAATTTTAATTTGTGAATGAATTAGATTTAATATTTTCTTTACCTATTTTAAGGTGTGAACATTACAAACTGTACTTCATTAAATTTATTTAAAATATTTTAAAACAATACCTAACTTTTCAGATAAGGTTTAATTTTGCTAAGTTTAAATATAAATTATCCTCAGCTGACACCATTTCAGTTAAAGTTTCATCATTTACTTCAAGGGGAGTAGGATTGGGCCCAGTGTACAACTGTTATAGTATCTCTTTGCTGTTCAGATGTTCAGGGCAGGCAGTTTGTAAAGTATCAAGCACAGTAATGGGATTAAAATAATAATCAGTATAAAAGAATACATCCACTGCATAAGAGCCTTGCTTATAGAAAAGTGAAATCAGGTAAAAGTAACACCACCATTTACCAAGAAGATAAAATAAATATAATACTAAATTCTTAACAAAAATATGTGTGTGCCAACCATGAAATTGCTGCATTTTATATATGATAACATGAGCTGAATTTGTTGGGTTTTTTTTTTTAATTAATAGTCAGCAGTGCAGACAGCAAGGACTATAATAATACATATATATTTAAAATGAAAGAGACACATTCATTGTTAAAACTACTAATATTTAATATGAATTTCCTCATTTGAATATCAGAATTTTTAACTCTATTCAAGTCCTGACATAAAGATTGCTGTTTATAAAGATCTGAAACTACATGCTCACAGTACTGTGTAAATTTACATTTCTGTTATGACCAGTTGACAAAGTCTTAATTTGGACCCAAATCAGCATAAAGATTTTCCATTTTAATTGAACTGCTCTAGCCCAGAGAAAACCTGTTTCAGTTTGTTGTGACATAATCCAAAAAACAAACAAACAAACAAAAAAAACCCACCAGACAACCACTATATGAATTGTTCTCAGTGTTTATATTGGTCACCTTGCTGAAAATTTCTCTGTAAACAAAACTAAAATTGTCATAAATGTGCCTGTGGAAGGAGGAAATTACAGTTAATGATTTTAGTAACACAAGAAATGTAGTTCAGACTCAGTGTTGGTATGGTGAGAAAAAAGTATTCCTTGAGAGTAAGTCTGTTCAGCTTGATCTTCTTTCCCTATATTAAAGTTTCATAGTTCTACAATTAAACCTATGGCAAATAGATTTACTGAATTGTTCTAACCATGGGTTGAAATAACCAAAATGATAATATGTAAGGGTCCAATCCTGCTCCTACTGAACCACTTGGTAAAAATTTTCTCTTGACTTTAATGGCAAATAAGGTCAGTCCCTTGATTCATAAAGTTTCTAAACATGCTAATAGTAATTATTGTGGGCCTAAACCTGCAAACATTCCATCAGACCAGTAGTCCAATAGGCATAGGACTACTTGCTTAGCCCAGGACTGCCCTGGTAAGAGTTCACATAAATGTGACCCTTCTTTGAAGTGTTAAAGAAATAATTAGCATAACTGGTCATTCATTAATAAATATATTCTTTAAAATATGAAGTTTCATAGCCAGAAATGCCATTAATTCATTCAAATCAAAATCACTAAAGATACCTACCTGCTATCCCTTTTTAATCTGAATCCATAACACAAGGAGCAGCATTTATCATAAATCCATTTGAACCATAATTCAAGAACATTTAAATGCTTTACATTTTAATGTAGTGTCACTAGAATATATAATTTTAATATTTATTTATTCATAGAAAATAACTACAAAGTGACACAAACTGGATGTATGTAGCCGTGGACTAGGAACAAAATACATTAAAAATTTCTCTTTGCCGGGGCTAAATTGCAGTCTGTAAAAGCGAAAAAACTGACTGCTCAGCTATTGAACATAAGCCTAATGTAGAAAGCACTTCAATAAAAACTGCAGTTGTTCTTGCATACTTGACACAACAACTTATTTTTATGCACTGAGATGAAAATAGAAATTTGGAAGAGCGTTAAACTCTACCTTCTGTTGATATATATTTGATTAATATTCTCTGTCAACAGCCGTATCTGTATGGTTTGCATCACAAGCTTTGTGTTTTACAATTACTGTACCTGTATCTTTTGTTATCCACTGGCACAATGTCCATGGCAATGTAATATTGCTGATGTGGGTCTAAACCTGAGATCTTCACTCTCATTGCGGGGAACATCCGCCTGAACATAGAAAAAGGGAGGTCATTTTAATATGAAACGGATTTGGGAACAATTGTACAGCAAAGTAACCAGTTTGTGAGTACCCCCTCCCTAATACAGAGAAGTCTGTAAGAGTCTTTTTTGATCATTATGGCCACATAGCCACGAAATGGTCCATTTGATAGGTCACAACAGATTTTTAAAGTGCATTTTTGCTGAACAATGCTTCATATGTTTTGTGATACATTTTGAGAGTACAAATATCACCATTTAATTTCAACTTTATTGTTAAATAGTAAGTCATTTTGTTTTGAGACTTTATTTTCACTGCATATGCATTTAAAACCTGCTAGACAGTTACTAGACATATGTTACATGAGATGCGCAAGTAACAGTTCTTATCAAGCAAGATTACAACCTGCAGAAATTTAAATTGTCAGATGAGTACTGACAGCAGCAAAGGGTGTGTCACTTATATATCAGCAAATTATACCATTAAAGACATGGTGATATAAATATAAAACAAGGATGCAGTTATAAAACTCAATGTGCCATGCTAGAACCAAACAATATGTTCCTTATTCAGAAGGGACTTACGGTTTGCAACATGCTAAAGGTGAAGTCCATGAGTTGTTCTATGTTTGAAAGGTATAGTAAAACATCTTTATTGAAAGCAGAAACCAAAGTACGAAGTACGTTTATAAATAAGTTCATAATTTAGATCATTTGGTGTCGAAAAGTGGAATAGTTAACTAATGTGGAGATTTTAGATAAAAAAAATCATGTCTCAATTCAGTGTGTTTGACACTTGCCTTTTAGATGAAAAGTTCATTCTGAAGGGCAAAAATAAGAAACTTTACAATGACTAGTTAATTGCATATTAATAAAATATTTTTTTCTTATTACATAAATCTAAATGCCATCCAAATTAAATTCTGTGTTTTCTGTTGTTCTAAACAATTAGCGAAATTAAAATTGTAGAAGGAAAAATATATGTTATTTCTATAATTTCTAAATAAACAGCAGGGTGAAACTGTCTTGGCTAACTCGCTCTTACTGTTATTTCAGTGCACCTGTAAGATAAAAAAGGAAAATCTTTGACTGGACCCTCAAGACAAATGTTGCTTTGTGCTAGTTAAGACTGCATTTCAATCATTAATAAAGCCTTGCTGAAAATGGAGAAGGTAGCATATGGATTCAATCAAATATGTTTTTGTAATTTCTAATAAGTTCAGATATTTTTATACTAGCCAGGTTTTTGCCATGTGTATACATTGGAAAGGGGGGAAAGTTTATTTTAGAAGAATACAACATTCATAGACTTCATCCTAATGAACAGGAAACCTAAAACTCCACATGCTCCTGTGCCCATCTAAAATTATTGTGATCTACGTAGCTCATAAATCAATTTGCTTTATCCACTTTGATGTATTTGCAGATTTTAGACTGTGCATGTCATCTGTATAGTTATTATAAATTAGCTGTCCAAAACAGCATAAAAAAATCTGGCTTCTGCAGCATCAGATTTTGTATTTGATTAACATGAATGAACAACGCGATATTATGAGACAATGTGTTTATCCACCTGAAGGAGAGCATAGCATAAATCAGGAGGGCAGTTAGAATATCCTGTCTCATTTGTACTCAGTCTGATCTTCCTTTATCAATGGACTTCGGAATTAATTTTAGCCATATTAACCGCCTTAGAAACTCCAACTTTCCCTAGTTCCAAGAAACAACAGGGGTACCAAGAAAAAGAAAAACGTGCCTGTCCTGCAACTGTAAATTAGACCAGAGACTAGAAATTAATAAGCCAGTTTATACTATTCATTTGTTGTATTTATGAGTGTGGGGTGGAAATGACTAATAAACTATTGCTTTCTTCGGGGACCCGTGCACTAACGCGCTGCCTGCGGGAAAATGAGCCTCAACTCTTCAGTTTTCCCATCGCGATTTGATCGTGATGTGGTAGTGCCGTCTGAATTCGATTACTGCTAAGCAACTTCTCCCTCCGCGGTACTGCTGCGCCCACCCAGCGGTGCGGCACCTGGGTGCTGGCTTTCTGCGACTCTCCTGCGGTGCAGCAGAACAGCCCGGCGCAGAAGGGTACCTTTGCCCTAGTGCATTTGCCCCAGAAGGGGGAACTAGATAAGTGCGCGCGGCGCCTTTTTACCTTCCTGCCTTGGTGATGATCATCTCGGTGCCGATCTCATGGAAGCGCTTCCACAGCTCGGCTCCCTGCAGATCTACCCGGGGCGCTTGCGGGGTTGGTGGAGGGGAACCGGCCCTAGACCCCTTGGGGGAGCCGCCGGGCGACACTGGCGGGGACCCTCCTAGGAAACTCTCCTCGCAGCTGCCTGGAATGAGAGCCGGGCGGAAGGGAAGCAGAGGAGAGTGTCAGGCAGAGAGCAGCAGGGCCCGGGATCTCCGCAGCTCCCAGGGACTTTGGAGCGCCTCGCTCTTCCATGGACGGAGAAGAGCCCGGGGAAGGGCTGCTGGGTCCAGCCCTTGTCCCAAAAACAACAGAGAAAGAGCAAGTCAAAAGTCTCCCCACGCCACCCACTGCAGGGAGAGGAGAGGCAACGAGAGGCCTGGAGCATCTCCCGGGCCTCTGCAAGACGCCCGCACTCTCCCGACCCAGCGCGCGTCCCTCCCAGCGTTTACACACAGCGCGGTCATAGCTCTCGGGGCCGAGGCCCTCCTGGCCCTCCGGTGGCGGGGGGCCCAGCGCCGAGCTACGCGGCCTGTGCAAGTGCGGGGTGAAAAATCAGCCGCGATCACGTGCAGAGTTTGGCCCTGGAGTTCAAAGCTGATAACAGACGCCGGAGGGGTGTCTTTTAAACAGCAGCCATACCCCCATCTCAGACAGGGCTCTCCGTGGGACCTGGCAGCACAGCGTCAGGGCTAAACACCAGCATGCAGCAAACCCCTGGCACCGAGAACGCATCGGGCTGATTGTTTTCCTGGTGCTGCTGGGGCAGAGCGAGCCAGGCCATTTGCGCTGCTTTTTGCGGGCTTGCGGGAAATGAATTAGCGTCGCAACGATAACTGCAGATTTCGTTGGACATTTGATTTCAGCTCTGCAGAGTTTGCCCTTCTCTGGCATATTAATGCACCGGTTTTTTTAACTGACACGAATCCCCGTTGTTCCTCGCCTCGGCTCTTTCACGTCTAGTATTAGGGTTAGGGTGTTGTTAGCCTGAAATGCAGTTGTCAAAAATACCAGGGAAAGGAACTTTTAAATTAACATGATCGCCCCGCACCAGGCCCTTGGTTTCCCCGAATGCCTGGAGAAGGTTAATTAACACATCTCCGCTCTGACAGATATTTTACTACCAGCTCATTGGCGGGCGGGATTTTTGCCCCACGGTGTTAAAGAGAAAAAATAATCAGGGGAGGGGAGGAAAGTGTTGGATCCGGAGCCAAGCCGGGTTCAAAGGGGAAGAGGAGAGAGGAAAGAAACTTGAAAAGCTGTCAGAAGAGTGAGCCTCCAAAACAGCAAGAGGGCAAAGCCAGCAGTGACTGACCCGGCGCAGGAGTGTTTACGCCAAGCAAAGACGAGCCACGTCGGGGTTCGGCTCTGGGACAGAATCGGCCCCCGCCCCTTCTCAGTGTGCCCGGTGTGGGGGGCCAGCGACTGCTTTGACAGCTTGCGCGGGGTGGGCAGGTTTGTCCCGGCCCCGCTGCAGCGCTCAGCGCCGTGGGATGGGAGCGGGGAGGAGACTCACCGGCGGGTCCCCGGACGCCGCAGCTCAGCTCCAGCTCGCCGCAGCTCCTGCCAGGCGCCGACACTGCCCCAGCGTGGGGCTGCAACGGGGCGCTTTCGGCGCCCTCGCTGGAGCCCTTTTCGCAGCCGCTGCCCGCTTCTTCCGCCGCCGCCGCCGGCTCCTCCTCGCCGCCCAGCTTGCGCCGCTTCGGCTGCTTGTGCTGCTGCTTCTCGGCTCCGATCAGCGCCTCTACCGAGAAGGCGTGAGCCTTGAGACTCATCGCGGTGCCGGGCGAGGGTCGCCGCTTCTCTGCCATGCCCGGCGCGCACACCTCCCCGCCCTAGACCCCGCTCATAGACACGCAACGGGCCCCTGGCCAAAGCCGCGCCGCGCTGCAGCGCCCGGCCTGAGCGGAGTCTCGCTCCCTGCCGCCCTCCCGATCCCCCAGGCGAGGGGCGCGGGGTTCTCCTCGCCCTGCTTTTGCAATGCCAGGGATCAGCCAAGTTTGTCTAAACTAGTCCCGTTTGCAGAGGCGCTGTTCCTCCCCCTCCTCCTCCTCCGAGCTCTGCCTCGTCTGACGGGCCAGGCAGGACTGACATGGGGAACAAACGCTCTGCGGACACAAATTAGGGCTTGTAATTGAAATTTGTTGCCTTGATCTGTCAGCACTTCCAAGCAGGAGACCGGTGGGAAAGAACTCGCTCATTAGTGTCAATAAAGTGACTGGGGCTGGGCGGAGCCAGGGGGATTGTGTCAATCAAACCAAGTGCGGGCCAATCAGAAATTGGGGATTATCTCGAGCCCGGTCCTTCTTCCTTACAAGGTTATAAAAGTGCAGGGTGTGGGGGAACCCAACGTGTTGTTCTCTGACTCCAGAATTCACCCCCTTCGTTCCCCCTGCGGGCGTGTCAGTCACAGCCCCGCCTCTCCTTCCCGCGTGAAAGGTGCGAGGCTCCTTCACTTGATCGTGACAGCAGCATAGACCAGAATTCAATAGATAAAAATAGGTTCGTGCCCCTCCCCCGTTACACGCCCATCAAATTAACTCTGGGTAAAGAGTATTCATTAAAAATAGGGAAACGTTGCTTTTCCCAAGCTTGCAAAGTTTCCTCCTGGGAACACAGGCAAGCCTCAGAGGGGACTCAGATTTGCATACATGCAGAATAAGAGTATGGAACTACATCCAGGTTTATTAGCGTGGCAGAGTTTTTTGTTCTTCTTTTACCTTTCCGGTCAGGAGCTTTTAGGTCTATGGTTGGGGCTGTACCTGAGTTAGACTTGAAACTCCCCTCAAGGAATCTCATTTGAAATGTACAAAGCTGTCCCGCGGATTTATGTGCCCGTTGCATTCCCTTTCTACTGTAGTTCTTCGGGGGAGCAATCGAGTTTAAAAATAAATAAATAACATAAATAATGGTTGTGAACTATTGCCGCTCTGAAAATTGATTGTCTTATTCTACACCGAGGAAGGATGGGACTTAGAGATTCACTGAATTGTTATTAAAACGGGCCAGCGTGAATTTAAGCACAAATCCTCGAAGCCCCCGTTAGAATAATCGATTGTAAACTGAAGCTAAAAAGAAAAAAAGGAAATTCAGCGAAGCCTTGTCTGAGCACTGACATATCCGGCCGCAGTAACTTTAATAATAATCATATTCAGGTGCGGACGAGGGAAGGGATCGTTTTGTCTTTTTTCCCATGAACAAAATATCAAACGCTACGGAGCTGAAGCCAGTATTATTATGCTCTTTGCTTTCCCAAACAAGTCAAAGAAACTGGTCGCCTACCCTTTACTTTACAACACAGCGTTACAGTACGTTTCCACTGTCGTATCAAAGTGCTTCATATAATTAAATAGAAGAAAAACACATTTGCGTAATGAATATTAAGGTTTTATATAAGAGCGATCACGGATTTAGGGCACTGTTTTAAACAATCGTATCCATGTTCTGTAATTGTATGACTACATTAACATTCTGCGTCATGTATGTTCTTAGAGCTATTGTTTGAACTATTGAGTAGCAAATCTCATAGGTTCTAAAGGTCCAGATAACAGGACTTTAAAAACCACTAAAATGTAAATCCATCTGTAACCTCAGTAACGAGTGGGCTGAACCCCCGGAATTTGGGGAAAGGGGAAGGACTGCCTAGTAAATATCTTAGTGCTAAAGTAGCCTTTCGAGTAATTTTAACAATGTTTAAACTTTAGAAATGCGTTAACGGTATGAAAATGTAGATGTCTGAGACACATTTCATGAATCAAACAAGCAGAGGCACTATCCAGCCCCCCCTTGGAGAAGATAGTAACTTGTCTTAAAGCAAGTCATTAGTGGGAAAATCCCCCTCCACTTGATGTCATTTTGAATCTATAGGATAATGTAAAAATGTCTAGTGTCAGTCACTGAACAGCGTTGTGGAGTTAGTTTATCTTTACATTCAATCTGGGATCTATTAACTGTTCCGTGGTCTAAAATCTGTTTGCTCTGCCTATTCCAAGTGTGATTGAATCTGAAGAAAATCAGATGTGCAGAGTGGATGAAAGTGCTAAGCTAAAGAATCTTTCAAGAGTTTAAACGCCATCAAGATGGAAATTAGGCCAATATATACAGAAGAGGGAAATGGATCTGTGCATGCGGCGGCTGCGGGGATCTCTCTGTATTTAGGACCCTGCCCGCGGATCACCAAGGCCCCTTTCCCATCTGCAGAGATCTCACCAGGGCATCTGCCTATTCGCAGGGATCTGAAATGGCAGGACTCACCCGGGCACCCACCGAGAAAGCTACGAGCCATCCACCGGACTCTGATCGGGAGGTACTTTCCAAATCATCATCTCCCTTATCGGCAGGCCCCATCTCAGGGATCAGGTACTGACCTACCAACTCATATACCGAAATGTTTCCACCCACCATCCGTTACCGTTTGGAGACCGGGAGCCTGCCCGCTGGGTTTTCCTGGCAAATTTTGCAGAATGTCATATCGGGTCTGGTGAGAATAACAGACGAGGGCAATACACAATAAACATCACAAACACCGGGGCTGGGTTTAAAATTTGTCTGTTGATCTCAATGTTTATGGAAAAAAAATTTAAACAGGCGAGAGCCGAGGTAACTTCTGCAGAAAGCTGTGCCACGGGGCATGCTATGGGGGATGCTAGGGCTTAATACTACAATAACTTTCCAGAAATGTGCTAAACTAATCCAAACAGTCGCCAGTTTAAATGGCTACAACAATCCCCAATAAAAACGTCTGTTCTGTATTCCCAATAATAATACTACGTCTGTTAAAGGAGCCTGGTATGGTATGCACTACACGGGGACCGCGTTTAGAAGAATAAGCGGGACATAGTTCAAAACGAACCAATCAAAACCAACCAGTTACAGATGCCATACGCATACTTTAGAAAACCGGGAGTTATTAACATAAAGGTTCCTGATCAACCCCAATTCCTGTTTCGTTCTTCTGGGGCTAAATCATTGTCCTTTACCAGAGAGGAGTCTAACATTTAGAGATGCGGAACGGCTGCAATGTACGTACACTCCTGAAATGGTTATTACTCTGACCTTGAGTACGTTCACATCAGGTCTATACAAATCATCCCGTATTTCAGGGCGTTTACTTTTGCAGTTTTCTGTTGCAAATCTGCGATTTGACTTGCTGTTTTCATTTTTTTAATAGCTGGATTTATTGAAATGTGTTGAACGATCTGTGATCCATATGGCTGTAAAAAAAAATTTTTTTTGGAAGGGATGATGAAAAACACACCTTCGTGGTGTCTCTCGGCATAAACTTTATATTTCTGGATTTTAAATGTAGATGGGGCTTAAGCATTTGAGTTCTGTATTTCTGTGTTCAGGGCTATTACAAATTTAGACCCGAAAAAATATATTTAAACGACTTGACATTTTCTTACACTGAATATCTTTAAGGGCATACAGAAGTTGGTTTGACCGCTGTTAGTCGTCATTCAAACCTTTTCTTTCTGCAAACATATTTGAACATTAAACCTCGGCTTATCATGAAAGAGGGCAGGAATGTCAAAAACTGCAATTTCTTTTCTCTTTAAGGACCCGATTCCGCATATCTTTTTTTCAGCCAGGGAATCCAGAATCGGGCCCTAAGAAAGTTGTTTATATCATTTTACAAAAGTTTTCAATAAAGTGGACCCCCTCCCCCCCAAAAAGTCTTATATAAAAAGTCAGCAGTTATTTTAGCTCAGCTGCTTTGCAATAGAATAAACTAAATATTACCAACCAAAGAGGATTTATAGGAGTTGACCAGAAATTCTCATGATAAACCATGACCTTACTGTACATGAGACGTGTGTCCATCATTATAACGTTTCTAGCTTGTTCTAAGCAAAGTACTAAGCAATACAGAGCAAATATGCAAAATGCTGGAAGGCAGGTTAACACCTCAGTTATTCCACCAGTACAGTATTCAGCCCGGGTAGGTGTGTGTGGGGGGGGGGAGGGGGACAGAAACAAAAAAAATCTAGACTGACTCTCCCAGAGATCTGTATCACCTATAAAAACTCGCTAAAATAGGGTTAAGTACGGCTTAAATTTAAAACAGACAGGGAAACTTCCTTAACCCTCCTGGCTGTGCGGGGGTATTACAGTTTCTCAGCAGTGAGCTACATGGGGCTATCTAGGCCCAAGTCTGGAAATTAGGGACTGGATTTCAAGCATCAGTTCTGTTTAAATGCTCTTGCCGTTTAGAACCAAGTTGTTTTCACCAGCTCTCTTGTTAAGCGTCCTTCTCTGTGTTTAATGTTAGCTTAAAAAGAAAGAGGTGAGCATAAAAATAAAAGGCTGTCTCCAGTGACTGAGAGTTACTGACTAGATGATAAATCAATCAATCAATTGATCGATAACGGGCCTGATCCCGTTCACACTGGCGATCAGGAGGGTTTTGTCAGGGATTTCAGTGAAAACGGAATCTAGCAGGATGTCTCATTTGGAGCTGCACAGTTGAAGGGGGGTGGGCTTCAGTCGCTCACCTTCTATTCAGCCAAAACCTCCCACTGAACTCAGTCAGTTTTGGCTGAATAAGGAGGGTTGAATTGGGCCCTGTTTGTTCCAGGGCCTGTCCTTCTCCCAGTCAAGTCAATGGAAAAACCTTCAGGGACAAATCACACGCTTAGTTCAATGGGGTTTCACACGGTGTGAATCGGGACAATATTCCCACTCCCCCGCCCCTTGACTTCAGGGCGATCAGGATCGCTTCCACAGTCTCCCAAGTAAATGGGTGTTGTTTTCCGCGCACCCGAAAATGGGCGGGGCTCTTCCCCAACTTTATTTTCCAAACCGAGGAGTCAGGCGCACGACTCCCAATGACATGAATGGGAGTTGTGTGGTTAAATCTCCTAGTCAATCTGGAACATCTCAAGCCCGCTTTCGGAAAGGTTTTCGTTCAGATTATTAGGGCTCGTTTAGATTTTCCCAAATTGTTGTCCCCAAACGTAGTCAATTGTTTCCAGCCCAATGGCCGAAAACCAGAGCGCATACCATTGCTGACACAATCCGCCATACCCTTCTGTCCTTACTGAGTCTACACTGCGGCGAAACTTGTCTACACGCATGAGTAAAGGCTGGGTTCTGATGTCAGTTACACCCGTGTAAACCTAGAGTAACTCCATCCACTAACAGATCGGACTTTCGCCCTGACTCAGGACCTCAAGA